TTCCATACTCAAGGACCCCATTACGGATATGAATTCCTGGGATATTTATAGGATTCCTTGCCAGTGTGGTTTAATTCGCATTGAGCAAACTAAGAGAGCCTTAAAATATCGCGTTAAGGAACATGAAGCATATGTTAGAAAAAAGGAAACCCAGAAGTCTTCTGTTGCCCAGCATTGTTGGTCCGAAAATCACACTTTTAATTTTTCTGCAGCCAAAATTATTCAACAAACATCTTCCATTGCTGAATTGGATTTTCTAAAGGCATTTCACATTGAAAAAATCTTTCTGTTCTAGTTAACGATCCTAATTTCAATCCATCTTTGCCTTCAGCCTTTAAAGAAATTATGTTTCAGTTCTCGTTTCATCAACAGATGGCGCCCGTAGCTTAACTCTTGTTCGGTCTTTCTTATCTTATCTAATAACTATATCTTATCTTGTTCATTTACCCTTTTGCAGTTGAGGATGATGGTTCAGTAAAACCATCGAAACTAGTCCTGCGAAAATTTGGAAATATATCGCTGATTTTTGTTGTTTGACTTCTAGAAATCTTACCTTTGAAATCCAAACGTTCTTTTCCCCTTGTTGTATCTGGATAATTTTTCTAACAATTTGAGGTTTTTCCCCTCTTGTTGAAATAAGCGAATTAGAATCGAAACAGGCTTAGGTGGTATGTATGTTACGAATTTGGTATTTAAAAAGCTAATGTTAGTTCAATTATAAATTAAATGGTTTTATTTCTCGCGCAGTGCAGCGCGTGACGAATATTAAAAGAAAGCTAAGCCGGAAAATTGAAAATACAAGAGCGCGCGTGCATTAAATAAATAAATATCTCTTTTTGATTTCGAGAAAGTACTGGAAAATTCTAGCGCGCGTGATTTTAAAATCTTATAAAAGGAGGAAAACATCTCAGTTTGTAGTAGTTGCTTAGTTTGTTGTTGTTTAGAAAAACTGTTCTTGTTGATTGTAGCGAATTCGCGGATTAGCGTTCTTTAGCTGTTTTGAATTACGTTCTATTGGACATTTGAGTAGTTAAAAGATAACTACTGTGAGATATTGTAATACTGCATGATAATTTGAGAAAATTTAAGCATTTTTGTTGTGATAATAATAAATTTTTGTTCATTTTTCATCGGACTTGTGCATTCATTTCATAACGAACCCGTACGCACGCAACAATTTTTGGTGTCAGAAGTGGGATTTGAATGCCAATAACAAGAGCGATGGAAGAACAATTAAAACAATTCATGGTAGCCTTTGCTGCATTTAAAGAAGAAATGAAAAGCTCTGTTAAAGAAGAAATTAGGCCGTTAAGAAGAAATGAAGTTGGGCCAGGAATCCGTTAAAGGAGAGAAATGAAATTGGGCCAGGAATCCGTTAAGGAAGGAAATGAAAGCAAGGTCAAGAAGAAATGAAAAGAGAAATTACCTGCATAATAGAAAATAAATTTGAAGCTATGGAAGGCAGAATTGACAGTTGAAAAAAGTTGGACAAATTGAAGAAAGAGTTTCTTCGGTAAAGAATAGAAGAACAATTGAAAAAAGAGTTTCTGCCGTCCAACAACAAATTGATGATAGGGTTTCTGCTGCGTTGCCAAAGAAGTGGATACTTTAAAGAAATTCGTAGCGACGGCAGGAAGCAATTCTGATGGTTTTAAATTCTTACCGATGCCTGCTCGTCCATCTCTGAAGCTATCCACATATGATGGGAAGACCTCCTGGCAAGGTGTATAAGACACAATTTTCTATCGTTGCGGATGCGAATGGATGGGATTCCCAAGCTAAGGCCTGTCATCTCGCCGCTTCTCTGAAGAGCAGACGCAGCGGATATCCTGCAGACGCTTCCCGAAAACCAAAGGCTTAGATTTCGAAGCTCTATCCGGCGCATTTGGAGCTGCGCTTTGGCGAGAAATGTTTAAAAGACTACAGCAGGCTTCAATTAAAATCCCGTCAACAGAAGCCCACCGAAACACTTCAGGAGCTCGCCACGGATGTTGAAAGGCTGTCCCATCCTCGCCTTTTCGGAGTGCCCGACAGAAACAAGGGAAATCCTGTCGCTGCAATATTTCATCGATGGCATCCGGGACCCTGAAATACAGAAAGCACTGCGAATGGCAGGATGTAAAGGATTTGTAAAAAGCGCTCTGTTGTACGCCATGAAATTGGAGGCAGCCCAGCAAGCAACTCTTAGGGATCGCTACCCAGTCAGAGCTGTGCGAGTCCACGACCCAGGGGACCAATTGATGGCTCGTTTAGATGATTTATCCAGACAAGTCGATGCTTTGATACGGAGTAGCAGTGAGAACAAAGTGGCTGTAAGATGTTGGAGATGTGGTTCTGAAGGTCACCTACGACGGCATTGCAGAACACCCCAGGGCACGGATAATAAAAACGGATGAGTTGACAAGACCAGTGAATGCTTTAAGACGGAATAGTGGTGAAACGAAAACCGACCCTAAAGTGCTGGAATTGCGGTGTTGAAGGCCACCTACGAAGGAACTGCAGAACTCCCCAGAGCACGGAAAATAAGGCATACGATTTAAACAGACAATTAAATGCCACGGGAAGGAAAAGGACTGACAAGAAACCAAAGTGCTGGAACTGTGGAGCTGAAGGCCACGTACGAAAGAATTGCAGAACACCCCAGGGTACGAAAATTGAGACAATTTCTGAGCAGCAACGACGCAGGAAAACAAATTAATGACCATATCAAGGAACGGAGGTTGCCAGATAATGAAAAACCCTGTTTTAAAGCGCTTAAGATCTCTATAGTGAGTGGCAACAATAACGGACTGTCCATCAATGGGAATATCGATGGAGTTCCTTGCAATATGATCATTGACACAGGAGCTAATGTTACCATCATTAGGAAAGATTTAGCTGAACAGTTTAAAGATAAACTTATTTGGACGCCATCCTGTGTTACCCTTCAGACTGCGTCTGGTGACAAGATCGACATAACTGGGAAGTTAAACGTAAACATCACGTTTGGAAGTGCCGCCTACCATCACACGGCATATGTGGCGGATATTACAGATCCATGCATACTCGGATTGGACTTTTTAAGGAAATACAATTTTTCCTTAGATTTCAAAAACAATAAGCTGCTTTCAGCATCTGATGGCATGACTATCCATCCTCAAAAGGGATCCTCGCCTGGAAATGTCGACGCCTTGTCCGAAAGATCGAGCTCGGGAAAGCTGCCGAAATCATACCAGGGTCGAAAAGAAACTCAAGACTACCAGCTATTCTCCATCCCAGAAGCTCTTCGGTCGAGACCTTCGTCTGCCTTGTGACCGCCTGTTTAGTCGCCCTACGGATGCGCCTTCATCGCCTGAGGAACACATCCAAGATGCCCAGGCCCGGTTTGAGGGGAGGATGCACCGTTCTGCACGAAAGCGAGTCAACTTGGCGACGGAGAAAATGAAGACCAGATGCGACACAAGAGCTACTAGACACATAGATCCAACAAAGGAGACAAGGTGTGGTTGTGGAACCCGATTCAACGAAAAGGACTGAGTCCTAAATTACAGTCACCTTCGGATGGTCCATATACAGTGCTGAACACGAATGACGTCGTGGTTCGGATCCGTGAGTCTTCGAACTCTTACGACAGGTTAGCTTATTACTATGGCCATAGTACGTAATGTAAATAATTGTAAATAGTATCAGACCATGGTCCTTTTGTTTTTTAAATGTGTATTTGATTTGATTTGTATTTAGTATTTGATTTGCATTTGTATTGATTTATTTTGTTTGTATTTAGTATTTGATAGCATTTGATTTGTTTTAGTTATTGCATTTATTGTTCATGTTGTTTATTATGTAATGTAATGCTTATTAATGCATTTATGCCACAGTTGTAAGTTTAGCTTCCTGTCCAGGGATTGTACTGCCCGGGACGTGCAGTCCTTGGGAAGGGGGCAGTGTGTTACGAATTTGGTATTTAAAAAGCTAATGTTAGTTCAATTATAAATTAAATGGTTTTATTTCTCGCGCAGTGCAGCGCGTGACGAATATTAAAAGAAAGCTAAGCCGGAAAATTGAAAATACAAGAGCGCGTGCATTAAATAAATAAATATCTCTTTTTGATTTCGAGAAAGTACTGGAAAATTCTAGCGCGTGATTTTAAAATCTTATAAAAGGAGGAAAACATCTCAGTTTGTAGTAGTTGCTTAGTTTGTTGTTGTTTAGAAAACTGTTCTTGTTGATTGTAGCGAATTCGCGGATTAGCGTTCTTTAGCTGTTTTGAATTACGTTCTATTGGACATTTGAGTAGTTAAAAGATAACTACTGTGAGATATTGTAATACTGCATGATAATTTGAGAAAATTTAAGCATTTTTTTGTTGTGATAATAATAAATTTTTTGTTCATTTTTCATCGGACTTGTGCATTCATTTCATAACGAACCCGTACGCACGCAACAATACGAATAATAGCACAAACATAGCCTTCCATCCATTGTTTCTTTGAAAGTGTCATATTTCATGAAAACGAAACCGTCAAGTAGTTGACGATAATTTACCCTTCCGAAAATATAATCGCAGTTAAACTAAAACTTCCAAGCGGTAAAAAATATGCGAATCTGTGTATCATTCATTGTTGTTAGTTTAAAGTTTTATTAGAAAGTTGACGAGAATGTTTGAATATAATATTAATATCTTAAATTAGAATATTTTTAAAGAAATGAAGAAAATGATTTACAGCCTTTTAGAAAAAAGTTTTCCGGCGAATTTCGAAAGAGGAAAGTATCAGAAACACATTTTAAATAAATTTTATGTAGTATAGATATAATTAATAGATCACTATTTTAGAGTTATGTAACATAATTCGCATTTAACTAAAGTCATTTGCCTTGAGTAGGTATGTAATAAAAGTTACGCTAAATATACCTGTAACATGTCTATAATAAATTCCATTATTGTACAGAAAAATTTCGATAAAAAATCTATCGATGCGCATAAAACATTTCAAGATTTTAAACATATTTTTCAGTTTCTAATGGTAATAATGAAATTTATTGAAAAATAAAGTATATTACAAAAATTCAGGATAATAAAAATGATTTAAGAAAATGAAGTTTTCATAAAAGCAGTAAATAATCAAAACAATTTACTACATATAACGAAATAAATAAATGATTGGTTCGTTGGGATTCGTAGCATATATAAGAATTATAAACTGCTTTTAAAATTTACAGACACAGATTATTACCAATAAGATGGAATTTGAAATAAATATTTCGTAGCATCACCTAATATTAGTGATATTTTAGTTAAATTTAGTCATTATAAGATTTTGATGCAACAGCAGTTTTCAATTTCTAACGAATTTCAAAGATGAAGCGAAGTTGTCGAATTGAGTACTTCTTGGTGCTCACTCCAGCTTGTTAAGGAAAGATGATATGGTGTTGACGTCATTGCAGTCAGGCATTAGCATGCCTTTGTATTTTATACAGGATTCCGCGCATCTCTGGCCTTCGAAAAACGCTCCGTATGTTCTTTTGCACTGAGCACAGTTATTGATGCACATCCAGGTAGCGCTGCGAGCAGCCGAACAATCTTCTGAAATTTTCAAAATGAGAGTTGTCAGAAGAAGAAAAACTCGGCACAGTTTACCCATCCTAGAAGGAAGAAAGGAATGATTTAAAATTTTTATCGCATTTTAATGCACTTCTATTTTTAACTTTGAGTAAAATGTAATTTTTTTGTACAAAAAGGAGCATATTATATTACACATATTCACACTAGTTCCCAAAATTATCTTTATTTTATGTAAAGAATAAATTTTGAATGATTATTGGAGGTGCAAGATAAAAGTCAAAGTAATATTCATAAATTTGCAGGACTTGTTTCGCAGCTTTGAACATAGAACCTGCTTCTTCGGCTGCAGGAGTGCAAATGACAAAAAAGGAGCCTGTGCTCGGACGCTTACAACGAGAGGAAGGAAGTAAAGCTACCGGAGCCATACAACTTTGAAATGATTTCCTTTAAAGTTTAGAGTAAAGACGATCGAAACTAATCCTGCAAACTTGTGAACATTGAGCTGATTGCTGTTTCCTTAAAATCGGCATTAATCGTTATTTGGCCTTGTTATTGTACCTCAGACATGAATGAGCTAATACAGAGCGATGCATAGCATTGTAAGCAAGCTGACCATAGTTACGTGAGATATAACAGAGCCCGCCAGGAGCCGAGCGGTAAAATCACTGAATACTAGTAGTTTGATCCGGGCTGAAGTCCAGGCGAACGGAAGGGGTGTGTCGGAGTTTTCATGGTTTTTCCTATATGTAATGCGAATATGAATCAGTTTCCTTTAATAAGTCCTCCGAAATGGCATATCCTCTTAAGTATGCTTTGTCGTAATCTATATAATCCGAATCAGTAACGAGAGTGTAAATTAATGAGTGAATTAATGTATAATTTTTAATGAAAACATTAAAAAGTACCGTTTTGTACACTAGTTCCCAAAATTCAAAGAGCTAATAACACTGAAATAATTTAAAACGCTATTACATTAATACTCAAGCTTTTTTTATAATTTAATTTTCCTTGCTTTTAACGAAGTAAAACCGACAATGATTTTTTTTTTTCAGAATCTACTTGATTATTTAATTTGTATTCTATAGAGACAATAATGATACTTGAAATTTTTTCAAGCCAAAAGAACATTTATTATTATTATTATTATTTTAAGCTTCTTTCACCTAAACTCCAGTAACAGTATAGTAACTGCCAATGTAAAAAATATTTTGAATACAATTTCCGAATTCATATATGACTAAGTTGAAATTGTAGAGTTATTAGGTTATTTTGAAACAGGAGACATGAAAAATGTGCTATGCCTTTGCCGGGACTCGAACCTAGACCTCTCGAACACATGCCGAGTGTGCTCCCGTTACACCACGAAGGCTTGTAGAAAAGAGGGAGAAAAATTCCTTATATACTCCCCTTTTAGAAAGCGATTGGGGATTAGCGGACGCAATCGCCAAATCCTGGTGGTGAAGAATTATCGTCCACCACCTTTTAGTTCGGGCGCCACTGTCGAGCCAGGATTTTTCAAGCAGGACACATGAAAAATATGCAATGCCCTCCCCGAGACTCGAACCTGGACCTTTGGAAATGCGCTCCCGATTTTCTACCGTTACACGACGAAGGCATGCAGAAAGGTGGAAGAAAATACCTTATAAGTGGTAATCTTAGACAATCTATAAAAGATCTAATTTTGGTTCAGCGATTAGAATTATTGAAGTAGTGTCATTCCTACAACTAAGATATTACTGATGGAATAGCTAAAGAATTTATATCCTTTGGATATTTAAATGCTAAATTAAAAATCGGTGCTTTTTTAAAGCATTTAAGCATTCTTCTTTTTAAGCAGATAGTCTTCTTGTGCTTTGCCAAACTCAACCTAACCTAACCTTTAAAACACCTAAATCTAATGCCATTAATATTTCACCACTTATAGAAACCGGAAATAGGGAAAGCTATCTCGCACAATTTTTAATATCTTCATTTTAGTTATGAGATTAAAACAGGCATTTCTTGTATTTATTTATGAAAAAAATATTTATCTAAAAATCTTATCCTTTTATCAATAGATTTTGGAGAATCTGATTTATTAACCTTTCCTTTTAACTAATCGTCATATTTTGATCATATAATCATCTTTAAAGCTAAACGTTCCCATATATCAAGAATATTTTTTCTCACTTTCCCTTAAGAAAGAGAGTTCTTCGTGGAGGACTTTTTAAGGGAAAGAGACTCATATCTATGTTTCACGTGAGGAAGATAATACCCATGTAACGAAGCCATTCGCAAGTATTTGATATTAGATTAATCATCAATTAAGACTGCAGCTTTATGTGTATTTAGAGCAGCGATTCTCAACCGGTGGTACCGCGTACCATTGGTGGTATTCAAGAGAAAAATAGGTGGTAGGCAAAGAAACAAAGTTCCAAAATTCTAAAAAAAGAACAATTGTTAGAAAATTCCTGTGATTGCACTTCCACTGAAGATTTCATAAATAACAACTTTTGGCTACACCGAAAAAAAGAATTTAAAGGCATTTCAAATAAAGCTAAATTTTTATTGCCTTTTCGCACAACCTATTTGTGTGAACAAGGATTTTCTTCCATGTTTTATTTGAAAAATAAATACAGAATAAAATTAAAAGTGGATCACACTTAAAGCTAAGTGAAATAAGGCCAGACAAAGAAATTGATCTCTCTTAAACAGGCCCAAATTTTACACTAAATTTAAGTATATAACTTAAATTTTGATAATTAAAATGGTAACCAATTCTTAATTAATATTTTTTATGTGTGCCTATTTAATACAGATAGCCAATAGCTTGTGCAAATGGCAAAACATTTATTTTTTCTATTTATATTGAGAAACTGAATAAGTATTATAAAATGTACAATAATTATACTGGTTGTACTAAGGTTTTTAAATTTTTGTTTAGATGGTATGTGTTAGTCAAAAGGTTGAGAGCGCGTTAGATATTGATTCATGCTTAGCGCCTTTCTTCTGCGATTAAATTCCGAAACTCATAAATTTAAGGATGCATTAGGTTAACCATGAGATTATATTCATCCTTGATAGTTGATTGTAATTAAGAAAGAGTCAAAACTTATATAAATGTGTGCGATAATGACTTTGTAGGGCCGCACTTTCTTGGGTAGGATCCAGTAAGTCAAGATTCTATGTATAGACTATGTAATATGATAAATTCTATATGAATTGAGAATTTATGTATTTATTTTTGAATTAATAGTTAATTTTGAGTTAAATTACTTTTCTGTCACTCTCTGTTCACCCACGCTTTTCATGCCAGAAAGTAAATGAAATAGCGAACGTTTATTCAGATTGAGGGAGACAGAAGTGCTATTTAAGCAAAGGTTTCGTAAGTTGTTTCTAGAGCGTGTTCTGCCTACTTGAGACCACTTTGTTACCGTGATTTAATAGCAATTTGATTCTGGGGCGTTGAGTGCTTCTGCTCGTTACTTTATCCTGATGAGCCGTTAGGCTAGTCTTACTACCTTTGATTTTAGTTCACCATTACTCAAGTTAAGGCAGAAGTGTTGGCTTGTGTAAACCTAGGTTGGGTCATTGTTACGTCTTTGTGTTCAAATAAAAGGTTTTATACCTTCTTCTTATGACTTTTGTTTTTGTATTTTAAGACCTGTAGATCATTTTTCTGTAGTCCTTTTTAGAGTTCGGTAGTGTATGCTTCCTAAGAATACCAGACGTTATATCTTAAGAGGGCTTGTACAACTTAAAACCCTTTAAGATCTTCGAATATGTGACTGTTGCAAGAATTGGGAAAACCTATTTATTTTAAAAGCAATTACTTCCAACTTTTTACAGCTCATTACATAATATAGCTGTTTTGTGAAATAGTAAGCAGAAAGTTTGTGTTGCCACAAATATTTTTATAATTTAATCTGCTTTGGGACAAAATTTTTTATGCGTTCACGTCATTTTCCCACCTTTCATGCACAGCTTAAAACATTCTGTTGCATAATTTAGTTCCATGTTTAATATATAACTTTTATAACATTTAAAAACTACTATGAACCAAAAATCCTAAGAATTTCATGTTAAATTCTTATTTTATTGGGAGTTGAGTTTATAAAATGTATTTTGTTAAAAAAAATCTGTAATGCTTTCATTATAAAATGTATTTTATTAAAAAAAGTCTGTAATGCTTTCATGTATAAAATTTTTTAATATTAAAAATATTCATCAGATTTTGGTTCAGTTAGAAGATAGTGCCCATATAAAGAATTTCATCAAATTTCAAGTATGTACCATTAGCCATTTTTAAAATATCATGCGTTCAAGGCGGAGACATGAAGTGAACGCCTAAAATATTTTGTCACGAAGCAGATTAAATTATAAATATATTTGTGGTAACAACAAACTTTCTGTATACTAGTTCCCAAAGCAGGTATATTATGTAGTGAGCTGTAAAAAGATGGAAGTAATTGCTTTTAAAATAAATAAGTTATCCCGCTTCTTGCAACAGTAACATATTCGAATCATGGTTATATCTGGATAAACAAGAAAAATGTAACAACTCAAATAATTGAACAGAAGGCACTTCTTGTACTTACAGAATCAGCCAGCATTTATTCAAATGATATAATTTCAAATTAAAATTAAACCTAAGTTTTAATGATAGCCAAAAACTAAACAGATATGAATAACGCGCAAGTTGACTCAAATCTTTAAAAGCAGAGCCGTGCCTGTATAGAGGGACACACATTTACTTCTTCACCTGAGACAAAGAAGTAAATGTGTGTCCTTCTATACAGTTCTGGCTGTTCAGCCATTTTAAGATATATATGTGTGTGTATATGTGTAAGATAAAAATATATGAAAGCAAACTTCTAATTTTAATTGGCAATAACCTCCTTTATTTTTTATTTAATTTGGGGACTTTCTCTCTCTCTCTATCTTCAAAATGTAAGTCTAAACTGCGTCATTCAAATTAATCATACGATCTTACGTAACACTTAATGCAGATATCTCTTGCCCAGTAAAATAATTGTAAGCCAAAACTTTTTTAACTCGAACTGAAACTTTTGACTCTCTCCCTTCTTCCTCAGGGTTGCTGAGACACTTTTCGCTTACGCTTTCCTCCTGGCAAGACGCTTTGTGGCAACCTTCTTTGTTCACTGAATATGTACTGAGTTAACAAAAATGTAGGGCTTTTATCCATGTGTAACGTGTATACGAGCCAGTTTCCCTTAGAAAGTCCTCCACGAAGGCATCTCTCCCTTTAGACAGATAGCCCTCGTGTGCTTTGCAATAATTAAATAATCCAAAATCTTAAGACGCTCGCCCGTATGTTAATTAAATATTGCGAATCCAGAATTGTTTTCTTCAATAATAAAATTACGTATTTATTGTAAAATAAATAATAAAATTATGTAAAATTACGTCGTATCTTGAATCCGGCCATGTCTGCCTTGCCTAGTTTCTTCGCTACGCATCTATTACGCCACCACCATCTTCCAAATCATTCATATCATGTCATTTATATATATATATATGCATGCATGCATGTATGTATGTGTTTGTGTATTTCCTGTTGAGGGCTACCCACCTTTCATGATGTAATTTTGATTTAATTATTATATCTTTATTATATATATATATGTATATATACACACACATGCACACACACACACACACACACACACATATACATATATATATATATATATATATTAATTTAGAACCAATTTTTCACAAAGAGCAAAATTTGAAATTTAAATGAACTTCATAAAATCCTATAAATGTAAAATAAGAATATTTTAAAATGTAAAAATTAAAATAAACCATTACAAGAAAAACCAAAAAAGAATAGAAAATAAGAAAATACGGGAATCCAATTAACTTCGACATAAGGAAGGAGGAAGGTATGTCGAACTTACCCTTTTCCAAAACAAAATCCTTGTTTTTCTATATCCAGAATTAGCTGATGAACCATCTCAATATATTTTTTAATCTTAGTAGTTCACCCGAAAATTCAGATTAAAAAATATATTGAAATGGTTTATCAGCTAATTCTGGATACAGAAAAGCAACGATTCTATTTTAGAAGGAGAACTGTATCTGGGTTCGACATACCTCCTCCTGACGACGTTATGTGGAAGTTAATTGGATTCCTTTTCTTCCTTGTTCTTTTATATTCTTTTTTTTTTTTTTTTTTCTTCTGATAGTTTATTTTAATTTTAACATTTTAAACTATTCTTATTCCATATTTATAGGATTTCATGAAGTTCATTTGAATTTTAGTTTTTAGTCTGCGAAATTGGTTCTAAATTTTTTTCTTTATACATTTACTGATCAATTTTGAGCGGCATTAATGCGCGAACATTTTTGGAAGGATTATAAATCTTCCTTTCAAGTTAAATAGAACTTAACATCTTTATATGCATTGAAAAATAGTACTTCGAATCGTAATCCAATAATAGCAGCGTAACTAAATAAAAATCATTGAACTAATTTTTCAAGCACTTTTTACACTTATTTTTTTTTTTTTTTTTTTTTTTTTTTTTTTTTTTTTTTTTTATAACGAAACAAAACAATCAGTGTGATTTTTCAGACTGTGCAGGAGAACTTAATTCAAGTTCTGTAGAAAAAAATATTTATGTACGAAAGTCATTCTTGACCACGTGAATATTACATAATTTTTTATTATTTTAAGCTTGCTGAAGCTTGTTTCTCCATTAACAACAGTAAATGGCAACGTTAAAAGTATTCTTAACGCTGTTTCCCTATTCAAGTACGATAGAATTAAAATATATTCTTCAATTATTAATTTTTTTTTTTTTTTTCTTCTGCCTTAGTGTCCGCAATTGTATAAATAACGTGGAATTTAAAACTAGATATTTCTGATTGCATTTATATTACTCGAATAATTAAATTGCTATTTTTAAATTACCGAAATCCAATGACATTTGATGTTTACTTGATTTTTGATCAAGAAACTAACTTCTTTATTTCATAAAACATTAGCAAAAAATTATCGCTGAATGAAGTTTTCTATAATAGGGAACTGGGAAAAAATTAATCCTACGATGAAAAATTATTTAAAAATAGTTCATCTTTTTATAGAAATACTAAAGGAATTTAATTGAAAACTGTAATATTAGTAAGCAGACGTCTGAGATTCATAACTGCCTCCGAGGTTTTAACTGAGATCGAATAAGTCGATTACAGGTGTCAACACTGAAAGAATAGTTACACTTGAAAGAGAATTCCGAATATTCATGCAGGGATTTATATGATCACAGAAAACACAAGAAAAAATTTTTGAGCAAAATATTAGCTTTGAGCAAAATATGTTTTCGGAGGATACCTTGGTTAACAGGCTGAATGGGTGTAACGCTTTTCCAGTGTGTAACTTAAAAAGGAGAAAATGTCCTTAGAAAAGCCTCCACGAAACGGACTCTTCATAAAACAGATAGCCCCCCCCGCGTGCCTTTGATATTAATCGATTAATCAACGAACCCCTCTTTAATATTCTCGTATCTTTTATCACGGAAGTAAATTTTATTGCAAGAATGGTTTATATGAACTTAAACAGAACTTTATATGCCGGATATTTCTAATTTAAATGATCTAATAGATCGCTGTCAGATAGTTTTTAGCTTATCACCCTCATATCATGTTCTTGCAGTACGAGCATGAAACTGATAAGTTTGAAACTGTAAAGTGTAAGGATGTTTTATGGTTTAGCTCAAACTTCCCCGGCATTAGTGAGTTATATGTTAAATTTTGCGAAAATGAAATCTGTTTGCTGCTAATGTTTATTCGCAGCAATAAATAAGTTTGTCACCTCCGGTTTAGTATATTTTGATGCTTTAATTTCATGTCTTTAAATCGACAATTTTATCGCGTTCATTTGTTTCTCTATTTCTCCATGCGTTCTTAGCAAGAAGCATATTTTTTAAAAATGTACTGTTATATCGGTTACATTAGAATGAACAGAACAATATCAAACCTGTGCAAAATATATATTTTTTATTATTATCCGTAACAATTATTTAATTAACTAGAACAGCTTGTCCTAATCCTTCCAAAAACAAAATAAAATTTTAAACATCTTTTTTATATTTCTTTGATATTAAACAATTCATTTTGTCGTTTAATTTTAAACAGCACCCACAGAGGGAGAAGTCATGTCTTAATTTACGTACAGTGCACCCTCAAGTATCCGGGATAATGTTGGAGGTCGCCAATCATTGAAAGAAAAAAAAGAATAATCCATATTTTTAATTTTATGCATATTAGATTATTATTATTTCTTTAATAAACCAGTAATTTTACTTTCTTTTTGAAAAGTTTTTTAAAGAAGTTCAAATATCTGTCGAATTTCACTGCGCAATTTTTTGAAGTGCTGTCTTTATCATGCTTTCCGAATCCCCTTTGGTCGACGAAGTTCAACAGAGCTTCAAAATAAGTCATTGCTGTTTTGTGAATAATGTAATTGTCAGTATCTTCTTCGCTTGTATTTTCAATATCACTTTCTGTCTCTTCTGTTCTTGTGACATTTGAAACGATATCTGCATCACTCAACCACTGAAAGCCCAGCTCATTCGAATCGCCCTCTAACCATTCATAGATGTTTTCCCGATCGACATTTTCGAAGAATTTTACATTTTCTGTTTTTTCGGGGGTCCCAAAAGATCCAATTTTAAAAAGAAACAAAACAAAACAAAATTGAAGAGGAAGCTGAATGCGTCATTAACACCACGATAAACATACATGTGAAAAAGGGATTGCGAATTTCATCGAAAAAGTGCTGTGCAAGTATGCCGTACAGGACATTCTTAAATCGGAACATGTAGTCGTTGTAAGTTAAAATATTTTCTAATTTCTATGATAAAATATGTTATCGAGAGTATTAAATCCGGCGATTTTGTTGGGACGCCCTAAACAAGATAGAACGTGCCTACTAAGCTTTGGCTCAGGCCTCAAAAAAATATTTAATTATTAACATTAATACACGAAATATTTTATATGGAATATGCTTCACATGACATATAACTTGCGTAAGTGACACTTAAATAAATAGCCATATTCTTGTTAAAAATATAAAACACTTCAAATAATTCATTACACTGTAATTATCGATACTCTAAATCCTGCCATTAGACTCAAAATATATTATGTTTTTCACTTACCTTTCTTCCCGAAGATATTCGTAAACAAAAAAAATGGGACAAGATCTTGAACCTGGATCACTGTAAACAAATCTCAGAGTCTGGCTGCCGGACCCGACTGCTTTATACACTCCGGGAACAGCAGGATGTCCCTGAACAGAACTCGCAGGGGGCCACTGATTGGAAATCACCGTTGAGAGCCTCTTTCGCTTTAATATCGAAAGCTCTTTCACTAACTCAATAATCCGAACTTTCGGAAGAAAAGTTTCTTCTTTCTGCATTGTTCCAGACAAAAACGCTCCGTATTCAAATTCTACTCCATTTCTGTTTGAGAATTTGTTTCGAATTCTATTTTAAAGTTCATAGATGGATGCTTTGTGAATCGTAGAATGGAATCATTCGAAACCTACAGCAAAAACTTACAAAAGCAATGTCAAAAAAGTATGTTTTGTATTTATTGTGAGACAAATATTCCATTTTTTAAAGGGCGTACAGATGATAGCCATTCCTAAATAAAAAAGGAAAAATAATATGTAAAATAAATTAAGAAATCGGAGTCAAAAAAGATAGCTTTTGTCATCAAAAGCCTTAAACTCTTAAAGAATATTTTTTAATGGGTATTAATGTGTAAGACTAACTCATATGGCTTATTCTAAATCAGGAATTCTCAGTGTTTTCTCTACATCGACCGCCTTGCAATTTTCTGTATAAAACACAGCAAACAACATAATCGAAACACAAATAATTGCATAAAGACAACAATTAGGCTAAGATTATATATAAAGTTTCGAAAAAAAGTGTTTTTATTAGTTTTCTAAGGATTCGTTTAGTTTTACTAACCAGCTATTTTATAATTAAGACACAATAACACGCCGAACAAATACTAATTTAGAAGTCAAACAACGAAAAAGCAACGAAAAATCAGCGTTTTCGTTCTTTGACTTCTGAATCAGCTAGTTTATGTTAATTTATTTTAGCGTTTTGCTCGCTTCCCATTTTCCTGCCATAAATTTCTAGTTCGCGTGTATTGAAATGAGATAAAAAAAAGAAAGAGTATTTAAAGGAGGGTTTTAGAGGATAGAATCAGAGCGTGTTCCGCCTACTGAAGACCACGTTTGCTAATTGATTCTCTCGAGAGTGGTATTATGCGACGTTGAGTTTCTTTGCTGTTAGGTTTGTCACGCCGACTTTAGGCCAGAGCTAACTTGCGCGTTTCTCTGTCTGTTTAGCCATTAGGCTAACTTATATTTACTTTGTTAAGTAAATGCTAAGTCATTACTTTTGCTTTAGTAAGCCAGAAATGCTCCCATACTTTGGGACAGCTGCCTTTTTATTATCTTTCCCAATTTTTAATATCAAAATACACCAGACAACTCATATTTTCACAAAAACATAGTATTTTTCCATGATTCGTAAAAAAATGATATATTTTTCACATTGTTATCATTTTTTTAAACACTCCCAAAAATTTTAGGCAAAATTTTCATTAATTTTAATAAAAAAAAGACATAAAATACTTACAAAAAAAAAAAGAACAAAAAACTATAAAAATAGTTAAAAAATCAAGTATTTTTTACATTTTTTCGCACCGTTAAATTTAAGAAAAATTCAAATGAGGAAAAATTATTAAAAAATTAAGAAAAAACAATGATTTTATAAGGTCGATGACGATTGACAAAAATTTTAAGAAATTTTAAAACATTTAACAAAATTACAGGGGGGAATGTTTCCTACCCTGAAAATATATAAAAAATTATTCTAATTGTTTTAATTTATATATATATTGTCCATTTTCGCTCCTTTATAATGAAATGTATGGTTTCCATTATTAATTTCATTTATGGTTTTATCAGAAAGTTCTCCATGTTTTTCAGCAAGATAATATCCTTTTGGGTCATTATCTGCATCTAATTTAAAAATGGTTGAATCTCCATATTTTGTCTGAATTTTTATCAATGATATCAGATCATAATTTCCAGGTTCTAAATCTTTCAATTTTAAGGTTTTTGGGTAAGATCTATATTTTTAATACTGAATTTTTAATACTGATTTTTAATACTGAATTCCTCCACTCTCTCTCTATTTATAAAGAATATTTTTTTAAGTGTTTTGCTCCCCCCGACAGAAAAAGGGGGGATGTTGAGAGTTCTCGTACTTGGATTCCACAGATTTATGTTTGATTATTTTTTATTTTACAAATTAAAAAAGTTTCAGAAACAAAATCACAGATTCTAATTGCACGAAAGTTCTTCGATTTTAATTAATCTGATGGCTGCGCTTGATGTATTGATCCAAGTTTAGGAAAGAAGGAGGCTTGGTTTGGTTTATTATGGTAAAGCTCTCGAGGGCAATCCGCCGAAGGGAAGGAATGCCTTCGTGGAGGACTTTCTAAGAGAAACTGGGTCGTATATACGTTGAAGAAGGAAAAGACAATAATGCTGTTTAGTAACAAATTTAATTTGTGGATACTTCTCTCGGATGATTTTTAAATTCCAAAGCTTAGCGTACACGTGTGTTTTGAATAGGTCTTGTTCTCGAACACTCTCCTTCAACGCAATCAACTCATCTTGCATCATAATATCAAGATGAAATACACCACAGTTCAGCGGTTCTATGAGCCATGTCGGCACATTCGAATTTTCAATGTCTTAAAAGTGAACATAAAACTCTTCGACCAGCTTGTATTTTAACGATATATCTTCCGAGAAAGTTTTGCATTGTTCGTATTTTTCTGTTGTGCTTCTTGTTCTTTCTTTTTATATTGCATTTCTCGCATAAAAAGTACCTTCTAAAAATTTTATTATTAATTAAAAAATATATTAAGTAATTTGTGTACATTTTTTATTTGTAAATCAATGGAATCTTCATTATGCCGATTAATGCCTGTGCATATTCGGCTATCGATCCCCAGAAGGTTAATTACAACCCCGCTGGGAAACTTTGGCCTATCAGTAGCGTAATCTTCTCAGACAACTAGAGAATTATCTTCCCTTTTAATTCTACATAAGTTAAGTCAGAAAACTATAGAATTATCTTCTCTTTTAATTAAGTAACTGCTACAATGTAAGTGGAAAAAAAAACTAAAGCATTTATTTACATTTCCCAGCCTACAGCTACAGAAATCAACAACATCGACAAAATTAACTTCCATTTCTTGTAGGCTGCACAAATAACAACGATTCGAATTATTTATAAGCCATAGTTTAAAGTGCGACAATCTAGCTTGCCTACAAACTCACTGATTTCGTAGAAGAGCGTTAAAAATAAGCCAAGTTACAGAAGTGTTTCTGCACGGCAAAGTGAGGATGCCAGCACTCGTTCCTAAGCTTAGATTCTCGCTTATTATTTAAAACTTACTTCATTTCTATTTTCTATTGCAGTATGCGAAACAACGGAAGTGCAGGTAAGATTGAACATAAGAAATAACATGTTGATTAAAATAATTTCTGTTGGAATTTACGAAACAACAGAAGTGCAGGAAAGATTCAACATAAGAAATAACTTGTTGATTAAAATAAACCTTACAAACGTTAATCAAATTGGAAGAAAAAACAAACCAAGGTAAAATTTAGAATTACGCAAATAAATAAATAAATAAATAAATAAAAATAACCATTAGTTTGACGCAGACTTTGGATAAAGCTCTATCGATTTCGAGAACGATCAAACGTAAGTCTTTCTTCTTCAGGAAAGCAAATTCTGCAAAATGGGGAGAACTCAGAATATGAATGGCGTTGTAGGCAGTAATTAATTAAAATCTTTATTTACTATTGAAAGTTAGCTGTAAGGTATTGACGATAATTAAGAAATTAAGCCCAAAATTTAGGCTGCCTTATTAGAAAAAACTAATAGCTATTTGAGATGGATATCGAAACTCATTGAGTCATCTATGGCCAGGTAGTATTCTTCTTGGCCTAAAAATGCGGCGTACTTTCAGAGTTTAATTTTTTTAATTGCCGTCAGTGCCTTCAGGATAAATTCCAGAGAGAAGGTATAACTCATAATTAATGAATGCCGGCAGCACCATACATGTCGTGAATTCTTATCGCTTGGGAAAATTTTTTCGTTCCTGAAGAAGAAGGACATGTTTCTGATCGGTCTCAAAATCGATCATTATTCAAAATCTGCATCAAAATAAGTTTGCTGTTTTGTCCAAGTTTAAACGTGAGAACTACAAACAATGGTCTATTTTGCCATCTCGTTTCAGTGATAGATTGCCAGTAATTTGATATAACCGCAGATAACATCTATAGCATCTCTCTCTAGCATCTGGAGAATTCCTTTTATTAAATGCCATTAGGATTATTCGTAAAGATGTAATCGACGTGCTGTTTGACACTCTCGAAAGAAGTGAACTTCAAGCCAAGAATTTTGAAGTGACACGAAGAGATGAAAACTCAAAGGGGCAAGGTGTAGTGAATATGGCCGAGGTGACACAAAATATCTCAGCCATACTCAATAATTTTAGGTCTAACGCACATCGAAATGTGGGACCGAGCGTAGAAGATAAACCTCGAAGATTGGTCATTTCTGGCCGCTTTGGCTCAATTTTTGCTTTTAAAACTGCAACTTGGGAGCAGTATTTTTCCGAATTTATTCTCTGATTTGGTGGCAACAATTCATGGTATGCAATTCTTTTCTAGTACCACTATGCACAAAACATTATTTTTGGGGTATGCAGCCTCCTTCCGATGTTACTACACGAGGTTCTTTTGGCTTACTCCCCTGACCTGTTTCTTGTAACGTTACTGTAAAATATTCACTTCTCATCTCCAGTAACCAGCCGTTTCAAAAAAGCATCTTCTTTATTTTTACAGCTAACAGTGACATGCCGAAATTCGAGCAAACATATTCATATTCTGCTCCATGCGATATCTACGCATAATTGCAGCTTACAAATCCAGTTTTCTTCAAATGATCATGAATTGTACTTTTTGAAATATTTATTCTGTCTGATAGTTCTTGAAGTATACAACTTAGATTTTCAGTCCAGAGTGGGCACCCTCTTCGAGACCGAAATTTCTATGCTTAAATTTCTCAAACAACCTTCGAACTGTGTCATCAGAAACAGCACTTCGTTCACAAGTTTTACGAGCTTGAATTTTTTTTTCCCTTTTTATACAATAAAAGGATCATATGACGAAAATGAACTTTTGGATTCTCTATTCCTAGCACTATAACTGAAACAAAAGATATGTCACAACACATGCTAGAATTATGCACACGAGCAGAAAAGATCACATTTAAACAGCTGCCTCAATCAATTTATCCCGTATCAGCA